ATATATATACATACATACTGTATAACTCGGATAGATCCAACATATATATATATATATATACATACATACTGTATAACTCGGATAGATCCAACACAGATTAATCGAATTCACGTATCCGTCGAACTGTTTTTGTTTTTCCTCTTTATCTTTGTAAGAAAATTACGCCATGCTCGAACACAAACACGGAATAGTCGAACTATTTGCGCAGCCAAAGAGGTCTAAAGTCAATGCCCTTTGAGGTGCACTTGAGACAAAAATCAAATATTAGTATTAATGATGGCGGCGGCTATTCGGACTCGAGTCTGAATACCTCCCGTGGCTATTTGGACTCAAGACTCCAATGCGCGTGCACAATCGACGGGTGTACCGGATGTGAAGCGGACAGGCAATTCAGCCTTGGCGTTCCTCGGTTTCTACGATCTGGCCAAAATTTTCTACACAAATTAAGAAAAGTATTAGTGACATCAAAAGTGAACAACAGTAGCAAGATCTGAAATACGACACAACGCAGGCAAACAGGGAAACGGCAAACTGAGCTCAAAGCAGTGAAAAAAAAGTTTCTGAACAACAAAAGATTATATAACTTTATCAATAGGTAGTCTAAACCCGCATTTGACGAGAAAGACAAACCCATTGATCTGTTGGAAGTCCAGTCAGAAATTAAGAAGAGAAACGTTAAAACCCTTCCAAAAGGGAACGAAAGTCAGTCATTTAAAGTAACAGTGCTCTAAAAGAAAAGCTTCTCCGAATAGCATACTTTACATGATGTTCAAATAAAATCAGGACAATACAATACCGCTCATTTGAGTTTGAGTCCGAATAGCAAAGGGAGGCTATTCAGACTCGAGTCCGAATAGCCACTTCGATTAATGATAATAAAAACACACGAAGGCAAGGTCGGTATAATAACACCCTCACGCCCCCTCCTCATACGCAGCTAGCTCTAGTTTTAGCATGCTGCTCGACACGCACGCTCTCTGAGCGTGCCTAGGTCCTAGACCTAGTTAGGCTGTCCCCGTCGTTTTATGCAAGAAAAATTCTAAAATTATGCAAAATGAGCCCAAAAATGTGAAATTATGCGATTCTATTAATTTTAACAAAGAATGATAAAGGAAAATAATCAGAAATTATGCAAAAATTTATCAAATTTTGCTAAATTATGCGGGGCGCATAAAACCACGGGGACAGGTTAGGCTGGTGTGGAGCGGGCGAGAGGAGGGGTTGTACATCACACGATCGGCCGCCCCATCCCACTTTACTAAGGACCGCATGCTTGGTGGGAGATGCGGGGTAAGGCTGCATTGTTTCATCATCGCGTTGTTGATTACTGTTGCAATATGCTTATCCTGTCAAATTGTTTATGTTTTGAAAAAAAATGAAAAGGTGCCGTTCGATTGGTGCAGACTAAAGACCGCTCACACTGACCCGCGCAATTAAACTGTCTTGGTACCGGTAGGCTCATTATCGATCGAACTCGAAAGCGTTACTCATCGTGTTTCTCATTCTCAACCTGTCAATTTCAAAGTCTCTCAAATTTCAAATTCAAGTCAACAGGCAACGATCTGATCTGATCTAAGACAATGGCCGAAACAAGAAAAATGTCTATCTAATCTTTGTTGCTTCCCTTGATTTTCGGACGCAGCCGATGCCATAACACTGTTTACGTATCCCTCGAACTACCGAGGCCGGTCCCGACGAATTCGAGCTATCCGTGTTATACTGTATACATCAAGAGATTAAGGTAAATAACAATAAAGAGATGTAGAAAGAGCAGGTCACATGTGTCACGACGCGGTAGAATCAGGTGCTCGTCAATTTTTGGGCATCTGGAGTAACTGGTATTAAAGCTTGTTCATTTGACCATCTTTTGATGAAAAAAATACACGCCTATATCTTGCACTGAAGTCGAGATATTTGCGATTGAAGGAGGTCGGGTCGCCTGGTTTCAAAGCTAAAATTAGCAAAAAAAATGGCGCCAAAGCTTGGCGATTACCTAAGCTTGAGAGTCCCTAGAAACTGCAAATTTACAATTGTGTGCCTTAAATCATTATTTTTTCAGTAAACTGCACCCAGAAATGTGTTTTTAAATTGACCTTAAAATTTAAAAGTCAAAAAACAAAAATTCGATTAAAAAAATTGCCAAACCGACAAAAAATGCCAGTTTCTTCGATTTCATTTTTAGACGAGAGCCTGATTTCACCACGATGCCTCACGTAATAGTATGCTCTCTCTACATTTCTTTATTGTTATGATTATCTTCATGACTTAATATTTAGCAGAAGAAGTCCGGCTGTGACTCAGCGACTTTTTCACTGGGGGAAAAAAAACTTTAAGTGTGTGTGTGTGTGTGTGTGTGTGTGTGTGTGTGTGTGTGTGTGTGTGTATTTCGTTTGTTATTTGGGATGAAATATATGGTGAGGAGGACTGGGAGTGGGACGGTGGCTAGCAATCTAAAGTTAAAAACACATGAGTGATACCGAAAGTTTGTGGCATTCCTTGCTGTCGCACCTTATTGCTGTATGGTATGATCTGCACAAGTTTGACATAATACTCTTTGCTTTGCTTTTGTTCTGCCTTTGCTGTTAAGATGATAAATGTACTTGTTGTATAAACCATTAATCATTTCCTTTAAGAACCAACTTTCCTTGTTTTGGTGCTTCTTTTGTCTGCACGTACATGTAAAATCATAATATAGTAATATATGTGTTATGTAGACCCTATATGACCTTTAGAAAAAGAAACGTTTACTTTCTATTCAGGGATGTATTAGGAAACACTTTACGAGTGTAAGATCTTCAGCATGTCTCTTGTACTGTAAAGCAGTACAATGTACATAATATGTATTCAATTATGTATACTACAGTGGAACTCGGATTCAACGAGGTCGTGTGGCCTGACGTGTGGATCTCGTTGAATCTGAGTGTTCGTTATAGCAAACACGAGGTTTTGTGTAGATAATCACAGGCACTGAGCAAGTAATGTATAAGAGAAGTCACAAGTAGTGCTTGAAATGCCTGCATATTATGAGCTGTGTAAAAAAAAGACTGAT